CAAAAAAGTAGGGTGATAGTCGAAACTCAGTAAACAATAGACAATGATAGATATCAAAAGCAAGAACTATAAAATGCGGCTAGTATAACAACAAATACCAACAAGCATAAATCCTTGAAAAGCAAGATAACACTCCACTATCTCCTAATCTTTTACCCCTAGTACGCATCCTCCGCACTCTCCTATCTAAGGTCATGTCCCCGGTAACCTGAAGTTGTGCCATGTCTCATCAAATCACCTCTCCCTAATACTTTTCGACCTACCTCTTCCTCTTTCCAAACCTTCTATAACCAACATCTTGTACCTCATCACTCTCCTCTTCACTCACTTCTCTCATCTTGTCCATCACGGAGTTCACTTTCACCTTATCCTAAATATCCTTATTCTTAATCTTATCGCTCCTTATATGCCCACACATCTACCTCAACATCCTCATTTTTGTGAAATGCATCTTCTGAATAAGGAAGTTTTTTACTGGCCAGTGCTCTACCCTATTTAACAAATCCGGTCTAACCACCATCCTATAAAACTTACCTTTTTATTTTTAATTTTGTGGTTTCTTTTTATGACACAAGACTCTAGATGTAAGTCTGCACTTCATCATGTCGCACCAATATGATGTGTGATATCATCGTTGATGTCTCTATTTTCCTGGATTATAGACCTAAGATACTTAATAATATTTCTCTTGGAGATAATATGTGATTCCTACTCTTGCATTACATTACTGAATTTGCATTATAAATAATCTATTTTGAATTTGGTCTTGTTTAACATGAACTCTTTATACTCTAGAGTTTGTCTTCGCACCTCCAACCTAGCATTAACTCCATTGCATGTCTCATTATTAAGTATTATGTCATCCGCAAAAAGCATACACCAAGTTCATCTTTAATGGACCGCATCAATTCATCCATATATCGAGGTAAATATGAATGGGATAAGAAAATTGATACTTGGTGCAATCTCATATCTACTGGTAAGTTCTTTCAGTCTTCTCCTAGCATTCTAACATGCATTTTGGGCACTCCATTATACATGTACTTTACCGCCTTGATGTAAGTCATCGGTATACCTCTAGCCTCTAGGCATCTCTAGATAACCTCTCTTGGTACATTGTCGTAGGCATTTCTAGGTCAATGAACATTATATGTAAGTCCCATTTTTTCTGGTATTTCTACACAAATCTCCTCACAAGATGGATAGATTGTGTAGTCGATAGCCATGAAATGAATTCAAACTGATTTTCGAAAATGGACACACCCACCCTTCCTTACGCTCAACTTCACCACACAGTCTCAAACATTCATAGTGTGGCTTAGTAACTTGAAACCCCTATAATTAATAGAATTATAAATATCATCATTATTCTTGTACAACGAAATCATTGTACTCCACCTCCATTCTTCAGACATTTATTTAGTCGTCTTTAAAATGACGTTAAATAAACTAGTTAAACATTTCATACCTGTGTGGTTGTGCTTTTTCAAAACTCCATTGGAATATCATATGGTCTAGTTGCTCTTCCCCCGTCCATCCTAATAATAGTGTGCTTAACCTCCTTGACCTTAATACACCTACAGTACTCAAAATTCTGAATGTCTCTCAGAGTACTCCAAATTATCTAGCACAATATTTTGTACCTATCTTCGTTCAAAAGTTTGTGGAAGTAAGCTTGTCATTTTTGCTTAATGAGAGTCTTTACGCCAACACTATGTCTTCATCATCCTTGATGCATTTCACTAGATCCAGGTTTTGAGCTTTCCTCTCTCTCAAGTTCGCGATCCTGTACAATTTCGTATCTCCACATTAGTCTATCCACTCAGTATATAATAGTTCGAAGGTTGTTGTCTTTGTTGTTGTAACCGCTAACTTAGCCTTTGTCTTTGGTGCCTTAATTTGTTTCTTATTCGTCAGCTTCTCCTCGCCGTCCTTGCATTCCATCAGCTTTGCATAAACTGTCATTTTGCTTACAACTTGCCTTGAACTTCTCCATTCTACCACCAATCCCCTCGTTGACCACCAATGTTACCCTTAGACATCCTTAGCACCTCTCTAATTGCTTTCCTAATGCAACTAGTTTTCTTATCCCATGTGCTTTTTGTATTCCGGCTACTCCTCCAAGCCTCCATTGCAATCAACTTCCTCTCCATATCCGAAGAGAAGGTGCGGGTCAAGCCACCCCCATTTAATTCATGGTTGTCATATAAATTCTTCTTCCTCCTCCCTTGCTTAATCTCTAAATACATCATCCAAAGCTTATATTGGGTAATAAGATTCTCACTCAAGATAACCTTGCAGACTTTACAATAGCCTCTATCGTCATTCCTCAAGAGTAAGTAATCTATCTGAGTTTTAATCACCAAGCTACAAAAGGTAACCAAGTGATCTTCCTTCTTCTAAAAACACGAGTTAGATATTCCCAACTTAAAAACTTTAACAAAACCTAGGAGTGAGATTCCACCTCTGATCCATTTCTATCCCCAAAACCCAAAGCCTCCAATTGTAACTAAAAAACAACCAATTATAAACATCACAATGATCTGTCTGATGGTTCCATTTCTCTTGATCATTAATTACAAATATTAATTTAATTAAATATCTCTTAGATGCTCGTAGGTCATTTTCTTCCCTACAAATTATTAAGAGTAGATCATTTCCTCATATTTTGCTCCTGGATATGACAATTTATTAGTGAGTTTAATTAAGTATTCCTCTCTTCTGAAAATCTAAACAATTTTTTTTTCTTATAAATCTCAACATGTTCCTTAAACTAATTATGTTTCATGCATTAAAAATGTTATATACTTTTCTGAAAACGACATCCTCTTCTTTTTAATTCCTTTAGTAAGTATTTCATTTTATTTTTAAAAGGAAAAAGGTTATTAATATTGTAACAAAGTGTAAAAGGTAATAAGGCAAATGAGCCCTCCTAGATACGACCTACATACAATGCAAAATTGAGTAAATTTGTCCTCCCATTAATACTATATGCAATTAATTGGTTAATTAGCAGTAGATCTTGACATGTCTCGTAAGTTATGTAAGGCATAATGTGTGTGTTATGAACTTCTTAAGACACAATATTTTGAAACTAAACTTATGTCTCTAATGCAGAGGCGTATTCAAGATTTCGGAATGATGGATGCACTATGATAAAAAGGTATATTTAATCGGTTTTGATATTGAGGTTCTTATCATTGAAACAATTAAAATTTAAATTATAGTTCCAAAATTGAAATGCTTAATTAATTTTAAAAAAGTCAAAAGTGTTATCAATAACCACTTAGAGAGATGTTACCAAATTTTAGAAAGAAAAATAAAACAAGATAGATATAAAAGCCAAATTTCTAACCTCACTGAGAGGTGCACTCAATCATTGTTGCATTATATAATACTTTGAGTGTGGATTCACACATTTAAATTTAACAAAAAATTAAAAAACATAACACTAATATATATGATTTTGAGAGGAGAGCATGGGTTCACGTAAACCCGGTGACCCCCTCTTGCATACGCCTATGCTCTAATGACATAAGTTCTGTAAGAATTAAGTGTCATAACTTGTTATATTCTTGTAACTGTAAAGCATAACTTGTGTTATATTATGAAACAAAAATATAAACTTTTATCACATTACCATGAACTGACTAGACAAGCCAACAAAACACATTAAATATTTTAATGGGCCAAATAAGCATTGGGACCATATGTCTTTCATATTGGGCTGTATAAATCTAGGTCTCTTGGTTAGTTTTGGTTATAGATATTTTAAGTAGATTTTAAAATTTTATCTTTAAATATTTTTTTAATTTTAATATTTAATTAGATTTTACAATCTAATCTTTAAATATTTTCAAATTTTCACTTACAAAAATTTATCTTGAAGCCGGTTTTTGAAATTTTCATTTACAAAACATTAAAAAAAATCAAGTAAAATACATATTTCAAAAATCAAATTTTCGCTTTAAACTTCAAATCTATAGCCAAACAACACATCAAGATTTGACGTCAATTGAGTAATTTAATCTCGTAACTTGATTAAGTGAAAAAAAAAAAAGATTAAAACAAAAACATATTTGAACAAAGTATTTGACCATAATAAGATATATGTGATTAAAATATATTAACAAAAGACAAGAACATATTTTGACCTTTTCCGTTTTAAAAGAGGAAAATACTACTAATTAAGACAAAATGTAGAAAGGCGTAGGGGGGCAAAGGATCAAAAAAAGAAATCAGAATGATGAGCTGGAAAATTAGGTTTGCGTTTAGCAGTCCAAAAAGAGAAATGCTTTAGGAATATTCAATATCCTATTATTTCTCTAAATATGCATGAATTGTCATCACTATGTCCTATTCAATATCCTATTATTTCTCTAAATATGCATGAATTGTCATCACTATGTCCAAAAGACACAGTTTTTACCAATATTGCTTAAATTCTTCAAAAATATCTATCAAATCGACTAAAAATAATATTCCAACAAAAACATAGAAATATTTTTAAAAAATTCAATCAACTTTAGATTTTCACATATGGCCTATTTGTTTGTTATGTCAACATCATCTGATCAAACCAAGTTCTACTTGTATTAAATTATTAGTTAGTCAAATGTTTGTACCACAATCATAACACTTTTAGGCAATCCGATCCTTTATACTTATGATTGTATTTTCATTATTTAATGAAAATAATAATTCTGATGTACGATGAAAAGGAATGGATTTGATAAAGAAGTAAATTTCCATATATTTGATGATGTTTTGATAAGCATAACAAGGAATTTGATTAAACTAATAAATTTAATAAATCTAAAAAGGATAAGAGAATCCTTTTCAACTCCTAGGAGAAATAATTTCTCAACTAGATTAACCTTTTCTATTGCTGTTTTATGATTCTACTTCCTACATCATCTACCCACCACTGATCACTCACTCCCCCACCCACCAACCAACCAACCCAAAAAGGGCACAAGCATCGCTGTCGCTGGCCCTGATCAAGCACGAACAGAGCTGCAAGAGAGAGACATCAACAAGAAAGCAGCTCGTTCAACTTCATCAAGCTTACTCCAGTGAAGTGAAATTGAATCAGCTCTCTTCACTGGAGCTTTCTTCTTCTTCTCCACATTGCTGCTGCTGGCGCTATCACCGCTGCTGCTTGCAGAATTAGCAGACGATTTCTTCGTCTTCTTGTCATCCTTGTTCAATCCCAGCAGATCTCTTTTCTTCTTCCTGCTCCTGATCCCACAAGCATTGCACAGCGACTACATTTGAAACAAAATTAGATTTCTTAAAACATTTTAGGAAAAAAAATTAATTAATCCATGTTGTAAACTTACCTTAGGGCCAGCAGGACCACTACGCCAAAGAGGCGTTTTGATAGCACCACAATCCACACAGGTTTTTTGCTGGATTTCAGATGAAATCACTTCAGGAGTCTTCACTTGGATTTCAGATGAAATCACTTCTGCAGCTTTCACTTGGATTTCAGATGAAATCACTTCTGCAGCTTTCACTTGGATTTCAGATAAAATCACTTCTGGAGTTGCGATCTCCATTGCTAGTCCAGTGATCACTTCCTCAGATCCCATCACCTAAATCAAAATAGTCAAATAAAATTAAAAAAAAAAAAAACAAGCATGATCAATCGATCAAAGTTAAAATGATGAATGTTGATCACTCACCTTATCACTTAGATCCATCTCTTTGATCACAACTAAAACAGAGCAAAACAGAGAAGTGATCACTGAAAATGAGTATTAAACCGACTGCGGTAAGAGAACCGACAGTGAATCAGAAGATGTGGCTGATCAGGATATAAAATTGTGCCCTTTATAAAGCCCCTGGCTAAAACCCTAAGCGCGAGGATCTAATAAAATTACTACTCTACCCTTCATTACAAATATTTTGATCAAACAGTCCACCCGCCAAAACTTAAGCGCTATTAGTCATGTTCTTTTCTTACTTATAAATAGGGGTAATTTCGGAATATGGAGATATGCTATTCTCTTGCCATTTGCCGCCTTCACGCAAAACCACACCCCCAAATAAACGTTACAAAATAATTTACACAATCTTAATTAAGATATTTCTATTCTAAAATAATTAATTTTTATTGCAATAATTATGTACAATTCATGTGAATGATAAATGTGAAATCATTATATTTTGACTTTTTTGTCAAGATTAAAATAATAAGACAAAATTAAGATTTAGTACAAAGTGTTTTTTTTTTCTCATTAGAATAATAGAAAATTAAATTTAATAGATATAAATGTGGTTTCTTTTTTTATTTTTTTAATTATTTATAAAATACCAAATATTTATTAAAATGTCTTATTAAATACTTTTTTGTAAATGATATTCTGAATATATTGTGTTTTTAATCTCTTTTGGTTGATTTTTCGTGACCATAAGAAAAAAAAATATAGATATTATATGATATGCATGATCCTACCTGTATAGAAATTATACATTTTTAAATATTATTCCTAAATAAGTTTTGTGGTACATGGATGGAGAAAATGGAATTACTTTTAATCCTAATATGTCTAGTATGACATCAATTTGTTTCAAAATCTTTCCCTTTTAAGACATAGTTTAAAATAGAAAACTCATCATTTCCTTTCTAATATTCATGTTATTTCTTAAATTGAACATATTATTACTATACAGAAAGAATAACACAAAATAATTGTAGATCTACCATAAAAATTGTGTGAGGTGAACAAATATAATACGATATTTTAGTAAATTGTATTGTAAAATAATATTAATCTTATTAAAATAAAATTTTGTGTAAACAATTATATGTGAAAATAAAGTATTTGTGAATGATAAATGTAAATCATCAAATTTTGACTTGTTTGTCAAGATCAATATTATTAGATGTCATTAAAATTTATAAAGTTTTTTCCTCATAAGAATAATAGAGAATTAAAATTAAAATTAGGTACATATGATTTCCTTTTAACCTGCTTTAATTAATTTATAAAATACAAATATATAATAAAAAATCTCATTAAATACTTTTTTTATAATGATATTGCGTGTATACTTTTTTCATCCCTTTTTGGTTGATTTGTCATAAGTAATACTCTTGTTCTTTATTTTTAAGAAAATGAGTATCTAATGTCATGTAGTAAATTGTATTGTATAATAATATTAATTTTATTAAAATAATATTTTGAATTAAATAATTATATGTGAAAATATAGAGCACATTTCACGTGAATGATAAATGTAAATCATTAAATTGTGACTTGTTTGCCAAGATTAAAACAATAAGACAACATTAAGATTAACAACGTTTTTTTTCTCATTAGAATAATAACGGTACAATAGATAATTGAAATTTAATTTTTTATAAATATATATATATATATATATATATATATGTGTGTGTGTGTGTGTGTGTGTGTGTGAGATTTATTTTTTACCTTTTAAATTATTTTTATAAAATACAAATATATATTAAAATGTCTCATCAAATACTTTTTTTATAAATGATATTCTGGGTATATTGTTTTTTTCATCTATTTTTGTTGATCTATCATAATCACTACTTTTGTTATCGATATTGATAAAAATATGAAAAAATATATATCATAATCCTACCTGTATAGGAAATTATACTTTTCTAAATATTATTCCTAAATTAGTTTTGTGGTTTATGCATTAAGAAAATGTCATTCAACTCCCCAATATGTATTACTTTTAATCCTAATATGTCTAGTATGACATTAATTTGTTCAAAATCATTCCCTTTAGGACATAGTTTAAAATAGAAAACTCATCACTTCCTTTCTAATATTCATGTTATTTCTTAAATTAAACATATTTTTACTATACCCAATAAATAACATGAAATAATCGTATATCTACCAAAAAAATTATGAGAGGTGATAATTAAACACGATATTTTAGTAAATATATGCTATTTTGTAAGTTCTTCAAATTATAATAATCGATGTACGTATATGTCTGTGTTATATCTTAAGTTCTTTAAATTAATAATTAATAAACCTATCGTGGGGTTGTCTAGCGAGTATGTTTATTTATTAGTAGGGTAGTTCATTCTTAAGAAGTATAACTTATATTTATATTTATATTTAATAGAAAATATTTAAGATATTTGATGGGATATTCTAATAATTTACATTTTAACTTAGGAGGTTCTCACTATATAATAATATAAATAATAGTCCGTGATATGCACGAGTTTAATAATAATTCTTTTGATAATTGGTTTTATTTTTTGGATATATAAATTAATATTTATTTTCGAATATACAGTTTTTTAAAAAAGTGAGTTAGAAAATAAAATAAATATATTATAAATTGTTTGTCAAGTTTGAAACATAAATTTAAATTTTTACGGTTAAACACTTATATTCAAATAAAATAAAATTTATTTTGAGAAACTGTGAATCGTAATTTTTATAGCTGAATGGGTAACTTAAAAAAGAAAGGAAATGAGCAACTAGGTCAATAAAAAGAACATACAACTGCTATAATAAAATTTCCGTTGTCCTTTGAAATTTTGCGTTAGTCTTCTTACCATTGAAAACAGTAGAAAGTAGTCAAATACTTTCTCCGTTTTTTTTTTTATCTACTACATTAAAAATATTTTTTAAATTTTATTTCTTATTATTAGCATATTAAGAGATTTCTTTCTTCATATTTTACGTTCAGTATTAATGACTTATTTCAACTTACTTTTCAGGATCTAAGATTTTATATCAATTAACATAAATATTATGATAAAATACTTATATTAATCATTAATTTAAGAAATATGTAAAATTCTAAATGGACAAATAAAAAGAATAAAATGAGTACAAAATATAGGTGAAGCTCATAAAATATTTTCAGGATCCCACCTTGTGAATGATCATAATTCATAACTCATAAGCAATCATATTACTTTCATAATTTTATATCCAAACATTTATGAGGAAATAACATTTAATTGACAGGCAACACAAAACTGAGAAGGTATAATAAATAATATATTTTTTAACTTGACTTTAGCTTACATTTATTTTATTCAATTTTGAATGTGCACAAGTAATCATCAAGTTAAACAAATAGATACACACGTTCTACATGACATCCTATACATGATAATTTTCATTCTACATGTTGTCTTATGTATATTATGTCACATAAAACTAATGTGTCTACTTGTTCAACTTTATTCAAATTAAAATAACCTCTCTGACTCAATTGATGTTGCATTTTTCATTTTTTGAGAGTGAAATAGTTTAAGTTTGACCGAAAATTTGAGCACAAAATTTTCAATTTTATTGAAATGAAATTTATATATTTGTAAACTATGTAAAATGTACTATAAATCTCAATAATTAATAATTTAATATATTTAAAAGATATATGAAAAACTTACGATAAAAGATCTATGAGATCAAATTTAAAAGCATATATGTTTGTTAGTCCGAACTGTCAAAAAGGTGACTCAAAGAAAAGCTTGTAATTGCAAAAGACATTTTTGGTGGGGTCCAAAATTTTGGAAAATCTAGTTACACGTGTTGGAGTCGGAAGACATCCAAGTAATAATTATGCAAGCATGACGTTCAGCTGCTTACTTAGCTTATTGTCATTTATTAGATAACTAGACACAAGCGCCCAATATCTGTTATTTTTTGTTTCACGTGACATAGTTAAAATTTAGGGAGCCAATTAAATTTTAATATGATTTTTAAATATTTTAAGTTGTTAAATTGTAATTCATAGTACTTTTACGTAATGTTTAAATAATAATATATGTTACTTTCCTTGTCCCAATTTATGTAGCACAAATAGAATTTCAAGAGTCAATATGTTGTTAATTATTGAGATTTACAATATTTTTTACTTAATTTTCAAATTAAATAATACATGCAACTTCTTTGTTCCATTTTATGTGACATAAATTGATTAATTTTATATATATATATATATATAGAGAGAGAGAGAGAGAGAGAGAGAGAGAGATAGAAAATATTAATTATCATGATTTATAATATTTTTTACGTAATTTTTAAATATATAAAAATTAAAAAATAAAACAAACAAATTAAAACTAAGAGAAAAAATAGACAAAAGTAATAGAAGTGTGGAACCACACATGTGAAGCAGACATGTTGACTGCCTTCTATGTGGTTATCCACACTTATATATAAGTAGTAGATATAAAATAAAAAATATTTGAAAATGTCATTGTTAAAAATTAATACTATAAAATTAAAATTTGATGAATTTGATCTTTAATTTTTTAATGCAAATTAAAAATATGTCACTCTTAAATTTATAAATTAAAGTAAATTTTAATATTTATCACTTTAAAATATTGTCATTAAATTCACGTGGCATATGATGAAGCTCTAGAAAAAAAATGATAGAGCGTACATAGATTTAAGGTGTGTTTGGTATGAAGAAAAATATTTTCTAATTTTCTCATGTTTGGTTGGGTTAAATGTTTTGGAAAATGTTTTCCAAATCAACTCATTTTCCTCAAATTTAAGTAAAATGACTTCCCTTCAAAACTTAAGGAAAACATTTTCCAAAACTCTCTTTCAACTTCAAATTACAATTACTTTTTTATTGAAAAAATCAATTTATTTTGTCTCTACCCTCAAACCAGAACCACCCCCCCCCCCCCCCCCCCCACAAAAAAAATAATTTAAAAGATTGTTTTTAAATT